AAACCCAAAACATTTTTTATAGATATAGACAAGACTATTCTAAAATTTATAGGAAAAGGTAAAGGAACTGGAACAGCTAAAACTATTCTGAAAGAGAAAATAAAGAGGAACAATTTCACATGATTTCAACACATTATAAAACCACAGTAATCAAAACTGAATAGTATAGTGGTGGGAATAGACACATAGATCCACCAAACAGAATAGAGAATTCAGAAATAGACTCACACAAATATGCCAAACTGATTTTTGTCATCAAAAATTCAAAAGAAATGTGATGGAGGAAGAAGGACTTTTTCAATAAATTGTGCTGCAACAATTGGACTTTAATAGCAAAAAAAAAAAACAACCCTGCTAACCTAAGCCTCTACTTCATACAAAAAATCAACTCAAAATGAATCATGGACTTACGCATAAAATATAAAACCAAACTTTTAGAAAGAAACATAGAAAATCTTTGGAAACTAGGCTAAGGAAAGTCTTAGAATTGACACCAAAAGTATGATCTTTAAAAAGAAAAAAAAATAGTAAGTTGGATTTCATCAAAGTTTTAAACAAGACAACTTTTGCTCTGTGACAGGTCCTATTAAGAGGACAAAAAGACAAACTACGCACTGGGAGAAAATATTTGCAAACTACTTATATGGCAAAGGACTAGTCACTAAAAGATCTAAAGAACAGTCAAAATTGAACAGTAAAAATCAAACAACCCTTTTTTTTTTTTAAATAGGCAAATGTCTTGAACAGATATTTCACCAAACAAATGCTCAACATTATTATCCCTTAGGAAAATGCTAATTAAAACCAAAATGAGGTATCATTGCATAATTATCAAAATGGCTAAAGTAAAAATATTGACACCACCAAATGCTGTCATGGAAGTGGAGAAATTAAATCACTCATATATTATGAGTGGGAGTGTAAATGGTATAGACACTATGGAAAACAGTTCAGCAGCTTCTTAAAAAACCAAATATAAAACTACCATATGACACAGCAATTGCTCTCCTGGCATTTGTCACTGAGAAATGACAAGGCATATTCACATAAAAACATGTACATTGATATTTATATCAACTTTATTTTTAATAGACAAAAACTGGAAACAACTCAGATGTTCTTGTGGGTGAATGATTAAACAAATTGTAGTACATCAATACTATGAAATTGTGTTCCTCAGCAATGGAAAGGAATGAACTACTGATAACACACAACAACCTGGATGAATCTCTAGAGAATTACGATAAAATTAAAAAATCGAACCCAAAGGACTATATACTGTATCCTTAAGTTTATATAACATTCTCAAAATAGCAAAAATATAGAAATGATGAACAGAGTAGTGGTTGCCAAGAGTTAAGGAGAGGTGATTGTAGGAGGGAAGTAGGTGTGATGATAAAAGGGCAACATGAAGGATGCTTGTGGTGATGGAAATGTTCTGTATCTTTATTTTACCAATGTCAATATCCTGGTTGTGATACTGTAATAAAGTACTGAAAAATGGATACTAGGTAAAGGGTACATGGGATCCCTCTGTTACTTCTTACAACAGCATGTGAATCTCCAATACCATGAAATAAAAAGTTTAATTAAAAAGTGGTACAGTGGTTTCAAGCCAAACAGAAGACAGGCATTGAGTTGAACATTTACGTGAGGTAGATACACTCCTTGGAGAGAACAATCATTGAGAAAGGAGGGCTGCCTATGCATAGGGAGACAGCTCAGGGGGCAGGAGTCCATGGAGGGATGGACACTAGGAAGAGGTAACTATGGGGAGGAAGTGTGAGGGGAGCTGTTGCATTGTGGTAAACTGTGGTCAACGTCATGAGACAAAGTATATGTAAACTGCTGTATGGAAAGTGAATTTGCTCTGTAAATCTTCACCCAAATCACAATAAAAATAATAATAAAAAAAGAAAACAACAACAAAAAAGTGGTACAACATGATCTTGGTTGCTAAGTTATAGATGAAGAGATATGTTGCTTGGTACCAAAAGAACCCAATGAGCAGTGCAGAACCCAGGTCCTCTGAATCCCACTTCAGCTATAAAGACACAACTACCACTACTGTCGATAATTTAGGCATCATTTCTGTTGGCAAGTATTCATAAAGTGTCCATTGGGTATTAAACACCGTGGAAGGTATTGATGTTGTAAAGAAGAATAAGTTATGTTTATTGCTCTCAAAGAGTTCACAACCAAGTAAGGGAGACCAAAAACTAGACTTGTAACCACAATGTGTGGTAATAAGTACTATAAATGTTCAGGAGCATAAAGAGACTAAGATAGCATTTGTGCTGCATAGTAAAGAATCAGTAGGAGTCCACCAGATGTAGATGGAAGGGAAGTGTGTTTTAGGTACAGAAAATATCACATACAAAGTCAGTGAAAGGTACAAGAGAAAGGCCTGTTTGAGCACCAGAGGTCTGTAACATGTCTGAAGAGAAGGAAACAAGGGAACACAGAAAGTGGGATAAAAGAGATGAAACTGGAAGGTAAATTGTAATCATCCAAGTGTTTTGAAAATTGTGTAAAATGTCTGTAATGTTTCTTCTGGCAAGAGCAAGTTTTAGAAATGTTTTATTTTTCTTCTTTTTTGTTCTTGTTTTTGGTGATTACAAAAGCAATTCACAGTGCAATAAGCAATCAAAGAATTAAAAGACATCCAGATTGGGAAGGAAAAAGTACAGCTTTCTTTTTCATGGATGGTATGATACTGTCTATAGAAAATGCTAAGGAATCCCCCAAAACCACTAGAACTAATAAATGAGTTCAATAAGGTCACAGGACATAAAAGCAATTATATTGCAATACACTAGCAATAAATAATCCAAAAATGAAACTAAGAAAACAATTCCATTCACATCAGCATCAAAAAGAATTAAATGCTTAGGAAGATTCAACAAAATGTAAGACTTGTACCTGAAAACTATAAAAACATTACTGAGAATAATTAGAGATCTAAATATGGAGAGATTTTCCATATCTATTAATTGGAAGACTCAATATTATTAAGATGGCAATTTTCCCCAAACTAATCTATACATTCAACACATTCCTTTCAAAATCCCAGCAATTCTTTTTCAGAAATTACCAAGCTAATCTTTTTTAAAAATGTATATGAAAAGGCAAAGGAACTAAAATAATCAAAGCAATCTTGTAAAAGAAGAAAGTTATTAGACTTATACTACAAATTTCAAAATTTATTATAAAGCTAAGTAGTCAAGATAGTGTATACCAGCAGAAAGATAGACGTGTGAGTCAATTTAAAAAAAATATTGAGAGTCTGGAGATAAACTGTCACATTTATGGTCAACTGATTTTATGCAACGATACCAAGACAATTCAGTGGGGTATATGACAGTCTTTTCAACAAATGGCAAAGGAACAACTGGATATCTCCATGCATACCTCCTACCATACACAAAAATTAACTCAAAAGGAACCTAAAAAACTTTTAGAAGGTAATATGGCAAATTTTTTTATGATCTTGGGCTAGCCAAAAATTTCTTAGATATGACACCAAAAGTATGGGAAAAAATGGTAAATTAGACTTCATTAAAATTAAAATATTTGCACTTCAAATGACACTAATAAGGTAAATAAAAAGATAAGACAGATCAGGGCAAAAGTATTTTTAAACTCTGCATTTAATAAAGGATTTATATCCAGAATGTATAAAAAAACTCTTATAGTTCAATAACATGAACACAAATAACCCAATTAAAAACTGGGCAAAATATTTTATTAATATTTCAACAAGAAAATACACAAGTAACTAGTTAACACATTAATAGATACTTAACATCATTAGTCATTAGAGAAATAGAAACTAAAAGCACAGTGAGATATCACCTCATACCCACTAAATGGCTATGATAGATGATAGATAGATAGACAAACCAGACAATCAGTACCAAGTATTGGTAAATATGTGGAGAAACTAGAGCCTTCATACACTTCTGGTTGGAATATAAAATGGTACAGTCACTTTGAAAAATAGTTTGGCCATTTCTTAAATAGCTAAACATTAATTCACAAGACTCATCAATTATGTTCCTAGGAAGTTACTCATAAGAAATTAAAGTGTCTATCTGTACAAAGACTTGTATATGAATGTTCTGATCAGCATTACTCATAATAGCTAAAAATTAGAAACAGCTCAAATGTCCATCAAATGGTGAATGGAGAAACAAATGTAGTATATCTGTACAGTAGTGTACTGTTCAGTAATAAAATAATAAAGAATGAAGTACCGATACATGCTATAACATGAAAAAACCTCAGAAACATTATGTTGAGTGAAAGAAGCCAGACACAAAAGACTATATTGTGTATGATTCTCTCTATAAGAATTACCAAGACAAGAAAAACCTAAAATACAGTAGTGGTTGTCTGAGGCTGGGGGTGGGAATGGAAGTGACTGCAAATGGGCACAAGACATCATTTTGGGAGTAAAAATACGTCTAAAAACATTTGTGATAAGGCTTGCACTATTCTTTAAATTTGCTAAAAATTATTGAAATATGCACTTGAACAAATTTTATCATAGGTAGATTATACTTCAATTTAGATCATCATTGAAAATTCAAACATCACAGAAATGTGCAATGTGGAAAACGACAGTGTGTACCCCTCTTCATCCCACTCTACAATGATTACTATCTACAGTTGGGTGTCTCTATACCTTCATACTCCACATAGATATAATACTATACATACACATACATACTTTACATCTAGTTTTCTTGCTTGGCAAAATATCTTGAGCAAGAAGGATGGATTTCTAATGTAAGAAATAATTGATTAATATCATCTTTGCTTTTGAGAGCAACCAAAGATCTGAAAGGAAAAACCAGTGAGGAGGCTATTGCAACAAGAAGAGGGAGCCTTTAAGAGGACCTGGCTGTTGCAGTGGTGGAGACTGTGTGTGTCAAAGGCTATAAGGAACACCCTTGATCTCCAGTCACTCTGGGATGCAGGAGGCAGCCTCTACTTACACTCTGAGAGAGATCCAGGGTGTTCCCCGCGTTGCAGTAGTGATCCACCTCCAGAGCCACAATCTTCCCAGTCTTCATGAAGCCAACCTGATAAAAAGCAGAGTGATTTCTCAATATCCTCTTTCCTCTGTCTCTCTCTAATCCTCTCCTGCCACTTAAGCTATCTGGAGGGGACAAAAAGTATAAGAAATCACACTAAGGGTATAATTTACAAAGAAACAGAGAGATAATCAGAGCTAAATAGGTGAAGAAGAAAGAGATGAACATCTCCACTGACACACTGTTGTGCTCTTGGTTTGTCCATCCTAAATACTCCTCCCCTTACTCCTCCTTCCCTCTACATACTTCTGGTTCTGGTTCTAAGAGAGAGAATGTGGAGGCAGAAAGGAGAAAGCCAGTCTTGACAGAGCAGGGAGGCGAGATATTGGGAAGAGATGGTAGGGAAGGGACTCCCTTCACAGCATCAGCATGAGTGTCCTTTCACATCTCTGGCCCTATGAAACCATTGCAATCCATTTATAAGAGTTATAAGTGAGGAAACTGGGATTCCAAATGATCAGATTATTTTTTTCAGGCACACAGAATTTGGGAATACTATCCCTCTTAGGGAGTTAAATCATGAAACAAATTGAGAATAGATTCAAGGGGAGATGTTCAAAGTCAACTCATGAAGAGAGAAGGCTCCCAGTTTCACAAAGCAGAACTGAAACCTATAAGGCTGTACTGCTGTGCAGAAGGGAAAGTCAGCACAGGAAATGGTCATACATCAAAGCTCAGAAAGGAGTGTCCCACCAGGAAATTAGGGGAGTGTCCAGCATTCATGGTCGGGCAACCTAACAACCTGTACCCATCCAAGCTTCAGGGAAGTCTAATTTCTCATTGTAAATTACTAAGCAGTCATTTTAACTTTTACTTTACATCAGACTATGAACATGTTAACATTAAGGCATCCTAAGTGATAGATTTACTCAGAATCTCCTGACAATCATGTTTTGGAGCCTGACTCCAAAAGCAAATTTGCAAATGGAGTGAACATCACCCTGTGACATCTCTTTGGAAGTAGCCCATCAGCATCCCCTTACCACACCTCTGTGTTGCTGCTCTTGGCCTATTTTAATTTCTCTCATTGCTATTTCTCCTTTGAACTTCTACAGATGGTCATGAAAAGACTGCCCAGGATCCCTGGGCCTTTGTCCACAGGTCCTGCCCACCCTGGCACAGCCTCCAACATCTAGAACCTTGTATCGTGCCCAGAAGGGATGTCTGCCACCAGTTATCAGCATGTCCTCATCACGGTCCAGCATGCAGCGAACGGGGCGGCCAGTCCTAAGAGAGATTCTCATAGGTTAAATGCTATTGAGCCTTGTACAAAAGCCTAGCCCTGTGAGTCTCAGCAGAGTGTAAACAGTACAGAAGCCTTCTTTTTCCATCTGGAACAATGCTTCGGTGTCTAAGCACTGTGCTGGATCCAGTGTGGGGGGTGGCATGGTAGGATATAATACATGTCCTTGTCCTTGGGGACCTCATAGCCAGGCAGGGTAGATAAGATGTAGACACAGGGATCAGAATACTAAGAAATATGTAACATTATCCACACCTCTATGTTCCAAAGAGCTCTGGTGATACAGCAGTTAAGATGTTTGGCTGCTAACCAAAAGGTCAGTGGTTCAAATAAATCAGCTGTTCCATAGGAGAAGATGAGACAGTCTGCTTTGGATTTGCAGCCTTGGAAACCCTATAGGGTCTCCATGAATTGGAATCAACTCAATAGCAATGAGTTTAGTTTTGGTTTGGATGCCCTAAAAACCAAACCTATTGCCTTTGAGTTGATTCTGAGTCAAGGCAATGCCATGTGTGTGAGAATAGAACTGTGTTCCATAGGGTTTTCCGTGGCTGATTTTCAGATGTAGATAGATTGCTAAATCTTTCTTTCAAGGACCCTCTGGGTGAACTCAAACCTCCAACCTCTTGGTTGGCTGTGAGTGCATTGCCTGTTTGTACTACTCAGGGCCTCCCCCTATTCCACAGAGTTCTAAAAATAGAGGGTTGTGAGAATTCAAAACAAGAGGAAACTACTTCCAAAAGGGGAAAACCCAGAGAGCCTTCCTGGCACAGATGGCATTATTCTGGGGTTGTTGGTAGAAGTGGGCCTTGAAACTCACTTGTGTGCAGCCAGGGCTACTGCTGTGGACACCACAGTGCTCCGAGTCTCCTTCCCACCAAAGCCTCCTCCCATTCTCTTCACTCGGACCACAATCCGATTTGCTGGAACCCCCAACATATTTGCAACAAAGCTCTATGAACAAATGAAAAACATTTATATTGACTGCATCATCTGAATTTGTTTCATTCCAATGTGCACAGGCCTAGTTATGGTGGGAATGCTGAACTGAATTCTTTGAATTCAGAAGTAAATTCTCCTTCCCCATTCCATGTAGTCCTCCAATTAGTGGTGCTGAGTCTCAGCCCTCTCAGTCACTGGAGTCTGAACTCAGACTCTTATTTTTAACCAGAGGGACTAGCCACAGGTCACAGCATACTTTCAGAGGCAGAACACAATCCATCTTGCTGGACCAGTGGGTCAAGATGGGAGGATCTGTTGTCAAAAACACTGGCAGTCACTATCAGGTTACAATTAGTACAGAAATGGGGGATATTAGAGCTGCAGCAGATCATTTAGTGGACCCTGTGACCATCACCTTCAACATGATTTGACCATGGCCATACAGCTCTGGAATGAATATAGCTAACATTTAAACAACAACAACAACAGTCCAAGTATTAAAATTCATCTAATTCTTACAACAACCCTATCAAGCTCCATTTTCCTGATGAGGAAATTGAAGTTGTAAGATTAAGTAACAAGCTCAGTGACACCAGTGTGTTGGTGACAGAGCTGGCATCAACACCCTCACCCAGGATGTTACTCCTGCTGGGACCAATTAGATCTCCCTCTCCCCATTCCCCACACTGCCACTCCTGACCTGCAAGGAGCTCCCAGGTGCCTTCCCAAGGCCTTCACTGACGCACAGGACCCCTACCTGAGTCTTCATGGTGTTTTGTGTAGACACAAAGAGCTCCATCTCCCCTTCCTCTCTTTTTGGGACAGCAATGGTGCAGTGAGTCTCCAGGTAGAAGTGCTCTTGACCACCGATATATAACTCACCTTGGAGAGCAAGGAGACAACCCTCTGTAAGCCCATCACTGTGGGGACACAAGTCTGCTTAGGGAGGGTGTAGACTCTGCCAAGTGCCCTGGGCAGGAGCCAACTGCTCACTGGTAATTTCTTGGTTCCATGGCTGAGTGGAAAGGGTTGGCAGACTTGGACATCTGCAAGCTGAGAATTCCCACAACAAAGAAATAGGAATGACATTGAAATGCATCTGGGCTAAGCTCTTTTCTCACTGCAACCAGAAAGAATAGGACTTTAAAAAATTATCTTGTGAAATTTTGGAAAAAATAAAGAAGGAATGAACAGACGTGAGTAGAAGGCTGAAAATGAAAGTGTCAATAACTGATGATATCACACAGGTTGGAGGGTGAACTTACTATTGCAATGCTGAGTTGTGTGTGAGTGCAATGTGGTAACTGGGTAATAACAACAGGCAATCTAGAAGACAATCCCAGGAGAGGACTCATCAGTCAAGAGCTGAACAGGAAATGAGAGGGAAGAAGGGAGGCTAGTGCGGAAGGATGAGCACTAGCTGGGGATGGGTAAGGACTGCCTCCAGGCAGATGGCAAGGAGCTAAGAGTCTGAGTGGTGAGAGGCATGACAGAACCAGGGCTGGTCAGACACCTGTAGACAGTGTCTTCACTGACAGTCTCCCAGATCAGAATACAGCACTACCTCTTTAGAATCACTTGGGTATATCTAGCCTAGAGACAGAAAGTGGATTTAAGATAACTGAAGATCTTTCCCAACCAACCGTCTACTTTATATATATATAAACATTGGAGGGACTCTGTATAGATTGAATTATGTGCCCTCAAAATATGTTTGTAAATCCTACCCCAACTCTGTAATATTTTCCCATTTTCCTATAGATTTTCTTTGTTATATTAATGAGGCCACAGTAAACCAATCACTTTTGAGATCTACAAGAAGCAGATTAGGCGCAGCAGCAAGGAAGGACAGATGAGGGAAGGTAGGTGCTACACCACATAAAGATCACCAAGGAACTAAGGAATACAAGCTGCAAAGAGATCGAGATCTTCTCTAGAGCCCACACGGAAATAAAGCCTTCCACTAGAGCCAGTGCCCTGAATTCAGACTTCTAAAATCCTACACTGTGAGAACATAAATTCCTATTTGTAAAAGCCACTCACTTGTGGTATGTCTGTTATAGCAGCAGTCAGAAACTAAGATAGACTTTTTCTCGTCTATGTTAGGAAATCACCTGCCTTGTCCTGGGTCAATCTCTTGAATTTGATTCTAAAACCAGGGCAGCCCTCCACAATCCCAGGACTGGCCCATCCCCATTGCTGTACCTGAAACAACATTATCTGCTTCAGCAAATCCCTTCTTGAGGTCTCCTTTCTCAATCTTCACCTCAGGCCCATAAAAAGACTTGTTCTTTATAGCATCCTAAAGATCAAAAAGAAGTTTTAGTAATTTGTCTTTTAGTGGGAGGATAGTGGTTTCTGACTTGGTAAAAAGAAGCTCTCTGAACTGTTGCTTCTCTCTTCTCACATATGAATCTCTAAGCTTCGTACATGAGGTTACGGGGTATATGGGGTTAAAATAACTTCTCCTTTAGTCCAGGGAATCATACTCTTCTATTTTCTCAGAGTAAATGTACAACCCTGGATCATGGCAGGGCAGGGAGGGTGGGAAGGAAGACCCAGTTTGGTCATTGGAGGAATACACCCAGCATCATGATGGGGAAGGTTTCATAGGAGCATAGAATCTCAGAGCTGGAAGATATTTTAAAACTCATCTATCAAATCCCCAGCTGCTGCCCAAATCTTCTTTGAAAAATAAGTTGCCATTTAGCCAGTGCTGATTCATGGCAACTCCATGGTGTCAGAGTAAAATGGTACTCCAATAGATTTTCAATGGCTGATTTTTCAAGGCTTTCTTCCAAGGTGCATCTGTGTAGACTTGTACCCCTAACCTTTTGGCTAGCAGTCATGGGCTTACACATCTCTAGGGCATCCTAATGAATCTGCCTGCAGAAACAGGAAGCTCACTGCTCTGCACAAGCAGCCCATTCTCAGTTACCTCAATTGTGATAATGGCTGGAAGTTCTTCGTAGGTGATTTTCACTCCATGAGCTGCTCTCTGTGCATGTTCTGGGGTGTCAGCAACCACAGCACCAATGATGTGTCCAACACAAGTCACCTAGGTGCAAAGCCAGATTATTAAAAACATAACTGAGTTCCTCATGAAGCAAATTATTTTAAATTGTTCAAAAAGGCGACAAAAGTCCTGGCCCCCACAATCTTCTATTAAGACCTTCTTATTTTAGGAATGGGTCCTGAGATCTTTTGTTTCCTTTATCCTACTAATTAGAGTTCTGTGCCTCTTCATAAGGTTTAGAATCTATAGAGATGGAACAGGAATTAGAGATCTTTAGTTTCAGCATGGCAAACAGATTTTATCTCAAGGGCCAAAACCAAACCAAACTCAATGCTGTTGAGTCAGATCTGACTCATAGAGACCCCTCTTTGGGTTTCCGAGGCAGTATCACTAAGGAATTAGATTGCCCAACCTTCCTTCCAAGGAGTGGTTGGTGGGTTTGAACTGCCAGCCTTCTAGCTGGCAGTCAAATGCCTTAGACACTATGCCACCAGAGCTCCCTCTCAAGGGCCAGTTCTGCTTATTTAATACTGGCAGCCTTTAAGCTGTGCCAGATAGAATGTGGTGATTGATTAGTGATGTCTGCCATGAGCAGAATGGGAAGAATGGCACCATGAAGTGTATTTGTCAACTTGGATCTACTCCAACTTTCTTGCTATTCATATGAAAGACCCAGACTCAGAAAGCAAGGTTACGTGTGGCTAGTTAGTAAATCATTATTAGATCTTAGGTCCCGATTCCCAGTTTCATTTTCTTTCACCACACCCTCTCTTTCGTGTTCTATTTCCTGGATTTGCATGGAAAGATTTCCAAAGGCAACAATTATGTCTTTGTTGTTGTTAAGTGCCGTCGAGTCGTTTCCGACTCATAGCGACCCCATGCACAGCAGAACGAAACACTGCCCGATCCCACGCCAGCCCCACAATCCCTGCTATACTCGAGCCCATCATCGCAGCCACTGTATCAATCCATCTCCCTGAAGGCCTCCCCCTCTTTCGTAGACCCTCCACCCTACCAAGCATGACATCCTTCTCCAGGGAATGGTCCCTTCTTACAACATGACCAAAATAGGTGAGATGAAGTCTGGCCATTCTTGCTTCCAAGGAGCATTCTGGCTGCACTTCCTCCAGGACAGATCTGTTAGTTCTTTTAGCAGTCCACGGTACTTTCAGCATTCTTCGCCAGCACCACAACTCAAAAGCATCAACTCTTCTTCGGTCTTCCCTATTCATTGTCCAGCTCTCACATGCATATCAGGCGATTGGAAATATCATGGCTTGTGTCAGGCGCACCTTAGTCCTCAAGGAGATATCCTTGCTCCTCAGTACTTGAAACAGTTCCTTTGAAGTTGACTTTCCCAATGCTACACGTCGTCTAATGTCCTGACTGCTGCTTCCGTTGGCATCGATTGTAGAACCAAGCAATGTGAATTCCTTGACAACCTCAATCTTCTCTCCATTTATTGTGATGCTGCTCATTGGTCCAGTTGTGAGGATTTTTGTTTTCTTTATGTTGAGATGTAATCCATACTGCAGACTGTGTTCTTCGACGTTCATCAGTAGGTGCCTTAAGTCATCCTCACTTTCAGCAAGCAAAGTTGTATCGTCTGCATATCTCAGGTTGTTAATGATTCTTCCTCCAATCCTGATACCATGTTTTTCTTCATATAGTCCAGCTTCTCGTATTATTTGCTCAGTATATAGATTGAATAAGTGTGGAGAAAGAATACAACCCTGACACACTCCCTTCTTGATTTTAAACCATGTAGTGTCCCCTTGTTCTGTTCGAACGACAGCCTCCTGGTCAAGGTACAGATTCCTCATGAGTACAATCAAGTGCTCAGGGATTCCCATTCTTCTCAATGTTATCCATAATTTGTCATGAGCCACTCAATCAAATGCCTTTGCATAGTCAATAAAACACAAGTAAACATCTTTCTGGTATTCTTTGCCTTGAGCCAAGATCCATCTGACAACAGCTATGATATCCCTTGTTCCACGTCCTCTTCTGAATCTGGCTTGAACCTCTGGAAGTTCTCTATCAATATACTGCTGCAAACGTTTCTGAACATTATCCATGAAGAAAGCAAGAGATCACTAAAAAGACAAGAAAAGAAGAGAAGACCAAAGTGGATGACAGAAGAGACTCTGAACCTTGCCCTTGAGCGGAGAATCGCTAAAGCAAATGGAAGAAATGGAAAGGTAAAAGAGCTGAACAGAAGATTTCAAAGAGCAGCTCAAGTAGACGAAGCCAATTACTATAATGAAATGTGCAAAGACCTGGAGTCTGAAAACCAAAAAGGAAGAACACGCTCAGCATTTCTCAAGCTGAAAGAACTGAAGAAAAAATTGAACCCTCGAGTTGCAATATTGAGAGATTCTATGGGCAAAATATTGAATGATGCAGCAAACATCAGGAGAAGATGGCAGGAATACACAGAGTCACTGTACCAAAAAGAACTGATCGATCTTCATCCATTTCAAGAAGTGGCATATGATCTAGAACCAATGGTAATGAAGGAAGAAGTCAAAGCTGCAATGAAAGAACTGGCGAAGAACAAGGCTCCGGGAATTGATGGCATACCGATTGAGATATTTCAACAAACAGATGCCCCATTGGAGGCACTCACTCAGTTATGCCAAGAGATTTGGAGGACAGCTACCTGGCCAACTGACTGGAAGAGATCCATATTTGTGCCCATTGCAAAGAAAGGTGATCCCACAGAATGTAGAAATTATAGAACAATATCATTAATATCACATGCAAGTAAGATATTACTGAAGATAATTCAGAAACAATTATGTCTAGATGCCCCAAAAGCAGTAGCTACCAAATGCTGATTCTCAAGCTTCAATGTACATGAATACTTTTTTTTTTCCTCTAGATTTGTAGAATAGTAAGTATTGTTTTCTTTTCTTTTAATCATCCACTTCCCATAATATCTTAATGGATCTTCTTCAGGGAATATTTTTGTCCAATGTCCCCAAATAAACAGCAAAAAGATTGTTGTCCAACTCATCACTTTTTAATATGAGGTTTTTTGACAATACAAAATAATGCCTTGCATGGAAGTGTCTGATAAATATTTCTGGAGGACCTAGTTAACTTATCGAGTAGGTTGGTAAGTGCAGTAGTTCTTGAACCTGGCTGACTCTCGCTAACTAAAATGCTATCAATGCTCTCAGAGGCTCTTGAAGTTTGTAAAGCACATGTTCTGGAATCCTCATGGTTCATATTTATAGTTTTTTGGGCTTTCTTTCATTTACATAGTATTAAAGTGAATTTACCCTAAAGCAATACCTATCCCCCTCTAATTTGCAACATTTGACCTGAATTAGAATTATAAAGTGACAGTTTGAAGACTGTCATATGAGTAAAGTATATGGACTTTTGTAATAGCTACCTTGAATGTTCAGAAATATTTTTTGGGGGGTAGTGCAGAATTCCACAACTTGAGATCAACAGGTAAACTTTAATATAAGTGAAATATCAATACACATAGTGGTGATATTGTGATTTCTTGTCTGCTTAGTTTAATATATTCTTACATTTTAAAAAATAAAAGGTGTCAGTATACCCTAAAGAACTCAAGTACAATCATTAATCTTTTTTTTAAATGCCATTTAAGTATAGAGTGAGAAGGTCTGGTGGCATAGTGGGTAAGACATTTCACTGTTAACCACAATGTCAGTAGTTCAAACCCACTAGCTGCTCCACAGAAGGAAGAGGAGGCAATATACTTCTGTAAAGATTTGCAGCCTTGGAAACCCTATGGGGATTGCTATGAAGAAGGAATGGACTTGATGGCAGTTTTTCGGGGGTTTTTTTGTGTATGGTTTTTTTTTTTTTTTTTTTTTTTTTTTAGTATAGTTATCCTACTACGTAAAAACAGCAGTACTCAATGAAATAAACAAGCAAATACTGAGTTAAAACTAAAAGTGTCTCCAGGCATATTCTATCCCTTTACTAATTGTCCTGTTGTTATTACTCTTGTGTGTGTGTGTGTGTGTGTGTGTGTTCTGTTACTGTCCTTTAAGTGCTGTCGAGTTAGTTCTGACTCATAATGACCCTATGTGTAACAGAACTAAACACTGCCCAGTCCTGTGCCATCCTCACAACCATTGATATGTCTGAGCCCATTGTTGCAGCCACTGTGTCACTCCAGCTCATTGAGGGTATTCCTCTTTTTCACTGATCCTCTACTTCATTGTTGTTGTTGTTGTTGTCATGTGCCATTGAGTCAGACCTGACTCATTGAGACCCTTCCTTGGGTTTCCGAGGCAGTATCACTACGGAAGTAGATTGCCCAACCTTTCTTCTGAGGAGTAGCTGGTGGGTTTGAACCACCAGTCTTCTGGTTAGCAGTCAAGTGCCTTAGGCACTACACTCTGAGAGCTCCTCCTTTACACAGCATGATATCCTTCTCCAGAGATTGGTCCCTCCTGATGACATGTCCAAAGTATGTGAGATGAAGTCTCGCCATCCTCACTTCTAAGGAACATTCTGACTGTACTCTTCTAAGACAGATTTGTTCCTTCTTCTGGCAGTCTGTGGCATATTCAATATTCTTTGTCAGCATCATAATTCAAATGCACCAATTCTTCTTTGGTCTTCCTTTTCATTGTCCAGCTTTTGAATGCAAATGAGCCTATTGAAATACCATGGCTTGGGTCAGGCGAACCTTAGTCCTCAGAGTGAACATCTTTTGCTTTTAATACTTTAAAGAGGTCTTAATGCAGCAGATTTGCCCAGGGCCATAGGTCATGTGATTTCTCGATTGCTGCTTCCATGGGCATTGATTGTGGATCCAAGTAGAATGAAATCCTTGACAAGTTCAGTATTTTCCTATTTATCATGATGTTGCTTATTGGTCCAGTTGTGAGTATTTTTTTTTTTTGTTTTTGTTGAAATGTAATCCATAATGAAAGCTATAGTCTTTGATCTTCATCAGTAAGTGTTTCAAATTCTCTTCACTTTCAGCAAACAAAGCTGTTTCATCTGCCTATCACAGGTTGTTAATAAGTCTTCCTCCAATTCTTAATATTGTCCTTAATCCACTAATGGTTTTTAATATTGGCCAATTGGATGATGGCTGTAATATGTGAAAATGCATAATCTTTTCAAGATTCGACAGTTGACAGAATAAGCAAAAGTTAAAACTTAAGTATTCATTCCACGCTCAGCATTTCTCAAGCTGAAAGAACTGAAGAAAAAATTTAAGCCTCGAGTTGCAATATCGAGAGATTCTATGGGCAAAATATTGAATGATGCAGGAAACATCAAGAGAAGATGGCAGGAATACACAGAGTCACTGTATCAAAAAGAACTGATCAATCTT